CAGTCATAAGGGTCAATTTTTTGAAATTGAGATTTATACAACATATCAAAGCTGAATAAATAAGCTTTCCATTGATGTATGGTTTGCTAGGATAGGACAATATGTGGCCGAGATACAACTATTTGAAAATCTGGAATCTGAGGGTGCAAAAAAATCTAAATATTGAGAAAATGACCTTTAAAGTTGTCTAAATGACATTCTTAGCAATGCATATTACTAATCACAAATTAAGTTTGAATATATTTACAGTAGGAAATTTACAAAATATCTTCATGGAACATGATCTTTACTTAATATCCTAATGATTTTTGGCATAATAGAAAAATCAGTAATTTTGACCCATACAATGTATTTTTGGCTATTGCTACAAACATACCCCAGAGACTTAAGACTGGTTTTGTGGTCCAGGGTCACATATTTCCTTCACTTAGCAATTCCATTAGAACATATTTTTATATATACAGGTGCATCTCAATAAGTTAGAATGTCGTGGAAAAGTTCATTTATTTTAGTAATTCAACTCAAATTGTGAAACTCGTGTATTAAATAAATTCAATGCACACAGACTGAAGTAGTTTAAGTCTTTGGTTCTTTTAATTGTGATGATTTTGGCTCACATTTAACAAAAACCCACCAATTCAAATTTATTGAGATGCACCTGTATATAACACACACTATAATAAATAATAATACAAAATGTAAAAAATAAAACTAAATTGTCTGCTTTTAGATTTAAAAATGTATACATTGCTATGCATTGGTGGTAGGATATTTTTGCTGTTTTTGAAAGAAGTATTTTATGCTGACCAAGGCTGCAAAATTGATTTAATCAAAAACACAGTAAAAGAAGTAATATTGTGAAATAGTTTTACAATTTAAAATACATTTTTTCTGGTTTAACATATTTTAAAATGTAATTAATTCCTGGATGGCAATGCTGAATTTTCAGAAACAAATACTCAAGTCTTCAGTGTCTCATGATATTTTAGCTATGCTAATTTGATTGTCATAGCTAAACTAAAAATATTGTGTTTTCTCTCCCCACTCAGGCTCTGTTTAGGAATCACCACATCCATTCACCTCTCTATCTCAAACCTTTCACTATGTTTGGCCAGTTCTCCCCTGGTGAGCCCTACAGTGCTCTCTCTACCACACCGCCCTTGAATCCAGCACACCTGCTTCAGCCCTTCCGCTTCCGCTCACGAACTGAGCCCATAGACTGGAGGCGTCTCTCTGCTCTCGACGTGGAACGTGTTGAGCGAGACATGGATGTTGATATGCTTCAGAATTTCATTACGACCGTAACGTTCTGTGCCGTGGAGGGCGAGAGGTGCCCAAACTGTCGAGGACCTGCTGACCCTTCTTTGATCAAACTGCTTCGTATGTCTCAGCTGAGCACTGAGTACCTGCTGCACTGCCAGGACTTGCTGAGCTCTCAGCTGTCAGGACTGGAAGAGCGCCTGCAGGCGGCACTCTCTCTGGTCCAGCGAGGAGAAGAACAACGAGCAGAACTTGAAAAAAATTGGCAAGAAGCCAAACAGGAGAGTCGACGGAGAAAAAAAATGATTGCCACTCAACAGCTCCTCCTGCAGGCCAGTGCTAATCATTATCACAAGGTGGTTTTCTTAAAAATTTAAAACTTTTGAAACCCTTTTAAAACCTTACACTTATAATCATACATACTGTTCAAACATTTGGGGTCTGTATGTTTTTGTGTGTGTGTGTGTTTGAAGCCTCTTATGCTCACCAAGGCTGCATTTATTTGATCAAATCTATACTAAAAACAGGAATATTGCAAAAAGTATTAGAATTTAAAATAACTGTTTTCTATTTTAATGTATTTTAAAATGTCATTTATTCCTGTAATGGTAAAGCTAAATTACTCTAGCCTTCAGTGGCATGTGATATTATCAATGTTAAAAACAAACAAACAATAAAATTGGAAACTGTGACTTTTTGAAGGATTCTTTAATGAATAGAGTTCATAGAACAGCATTTATTTGAAATAGAAATATTTTAACATTGCGCATTTCTTTACTGTCACTTTTCATCAATTTAATGAGTCTGTGCATAATGAAAGCATTAATCTTTTTAAAAAATAAATAAATAAATGAAAAATCTTACCGACCCCAAACGTTTGAATGGTAGCGTTTTGAATTTGTAGGCTAATAAATGTTTTTTTGTTGTTGTTTTTTTTAGAGTGGGCTGCCAGTTTCAATCCCTCCCACAGAATCCTATTCCCCTCCATAAATTCCTTAAAAATATAGTGTGATATTTTGTTCTAGATAATAAAAATAACTTTTTTTTATTGAGCTATCATTATACTAAGCTAGTTGGCTAAGCTGGTGTTTTGCTAACCAAGGCTAACTGAAAAGATAAACAATTGGAAATGTGTAATATTAGCATTTTTAGTCTGGTAACATAATGTTATATGTAATATGCAATTTAAGAAACATTAATATACTTTCATGATTAAGCAGATATTGTAAAATTGGCACGGAATGAACTACTGGCTGCTCGGTGACCTTTAGTTATCATAATACCAGTTCTAATATTTTGATGCCTTTTTATTCATGACAGTGCCAGTTCTGTGAAAAATCATTTGTCAACTACTCTTACTTACAAGCACATGTTCAGCGACGACATCCTGAAGTTACAGATGCAGGTTGGTGGAAAAAAATAGTGTCTGTTATTTTTTTGAACTAAGTTTAATAAAATTTCAGATATAGGTGAGCTAGCAGTTCACTTGAATATCATTGATGATGTGGTTGGAAAGAATTATTAATAACTGAATATCACTGCTTGTGCATGTGTATGTCTCAGAGAGACAAAAGAAGCGGAAGGTAGAAGAGATGGAAGATAGGATAGAAGAGCTGAAGGAGAAACTGAGATTGACGCAAATGCAGCTACAGGCAGAGAGAGAAACAGAAAGTTTGAGGCGTCAGCAGGTGAGTTTGTTTAAATCAAGTTCCAGCATCCTATACAGCTCTAAAATTCTTCAAGGGGTCATCGGATGCGACATGCACTTTTACAAGCTGTTTGAACTGAAATGTGTGTTGGCAGTGTGTGTACACAACCACCCTATAATGAAAGATCCACCCAGTGTTTTTTTTTTATCTAGTTAAATCATTTCCCCTTTCTCAAATCGAGCCGATCTCAGATGCCTGTCTGTGTGACGTCACACAAACAGGCCCCTCCCACGATAGTTTGACTGACAGTGGTGTTTCAGCACAGACTGGACTGGTGTCTTACCTTAGACCCACCCTGAGTGAGCTGTCATCAGTCTGCCATTGTTTCACCGCCGGAGCAGATGTAGACAAGAATGACTCCTAAGCGATTGAGGTGTTCTGTTGTTGGATGTAATAATGAACATAGCAGTAGTCATTTACTCCTGACATCTGAGCCGCTGAAGACGCAGTGGATTACCTTTGTTTTTGAAGGGAATGAATTTGATCTACCTAAATGTGTCTATGTTCGCGTGAATCATTCGTGATTCAGCTTCACCTACAGAAGAAGTGAGTGTAAGGTTTTTTAATTAAAATCTTTGCAAATCGCCTTTCCTAATAATGTGCTAATTAGCGAGTTTTACGATGAATGTGGCTAAAGTTTACAGTCTCTCAGAGAGTGGCTCGGAAGAGAGGGGCGGGGTGAGCAGAGCTCATTTGCATTTAAAGCGGAATGCAATAATAAATATATTCGTGCTGTAGACAGACCTGTTTTTGACAGGGTAAAAACGGTGTTGTTTTACACTACCATTGAGAAATTTTAACCAAACTATGTTACAGACTTTTCATTAAGACCCTAAAGAATCATAATCAAGTTGTGGAAAATGGGCATCCGATGACCCCTTTAAATAACCCTATTTTCTTCTGTATCTATTTCCAGTATTTTATACTTGCTGAAATTGTCATGTGTTTGTTTGCTTATTATCAGTTCAGTAGGTCTTATACTTCTTAAAGGTATAGCTTTCATTTACCCACCCTTACTGTTATCAAGCTAAATTTCCAAGCTGCTCTTTTACATACATTGAAAGCATATGGAGACTATACATTATTTGCATTTATTGGGGGAACACAAAAGTTTTGCGAGTGAAACCAAAATTCATTGAAATCATTGAATCATATTGAAAATCATTGAAATATAATTTTTCCATCACCATCTCTAATAATTCTAAGCCCTTAAAATCACAATATGTCATTTTCGCCGCTAGAGGGCGCGTATTCAAAATAAACAAATAGACAAAGGGATATTTTAATAAAAAAAAATCTTATGCCTTTAAAGGAATATGTTAATGGAAAAATGAGATGAGAGGAAAAATAATATTCCAGTGCTTTTGTGTTCCCTTGAGTAACACAAAATTTTGCGTTATATTAACAAAGTTTTGCTTTCTCCTGGAAACTTTTTGCTAAACTTTTTTTTGCTAAGCTTTCTTGCAAAACTTTTAAATGCAATCACAAAACTGATGATCAAAATAATTTGAAATGGGAAAAAAACTATGTTTCAATGCTTTTCCAAGTAAACATAACGTTTCTTGCAGGAATACAACAAGACAACACAAATGCAAAGTTTCTAGGGGGAACGCAAAAGTTGTGTGAGCAAGTGTAAAAGCATTGAAAGATCTCATTTTTACATCACCATTTCCCCTTAGATGACGAAGACTCCTTAAACTCCATATGAAATACCAGTTTAAGAGAAAACATATCAATTAATTCAGATGTGTTCCAGGATCAAGAGGAGCAGCAAAGGAGAGAACAGTCAGAGAAGGAAGCACTGGAGAGATGGAAAGAAGAGGAGAGAAGAAAATCTCAGCAGGAAATTGGAGAGCTGAGACAGTTATTTCTCCAGGAGTCTAAAGACATGGCAAGCAAGAGCTCATGCATAGAGGCTGTGAGTATACATTGGTTTAAAATGAATAGCCTGTCACCAGTAGATGGAGACAGATCCTCTGGTATGTATGCCTGCCAGGCAGCCAATAGATGAGCTACTGGGTATGTTTTTGGTTTGTCATTGCAATAACATTCTATGTTTTTTTTTGTCATCGTTCCATCTATAGAAACTGCTAATGTTGCAGAACAAAGAGGTGGGTGAAGCTAATAATGTCACTTTACAAGAAGAGAGTGACCCTGAGAAAGAACTGAGAGAAAACAAAGAGAGAGAGCTAAAAGAGAAAATGTCCAGGAAGGTGAGAGTTATTTGCTTGTTCACTGAGTCATGCATGAGTCACTAATACAATGCCCTTTTAAAATGAATGGTTATTATTTTTCAAGTTGGCAAAAAAAAAAAGAAAAAAGAAAAGAAAGGATTATTCATCAGCAAACACTGAACAACTCTTAGGCAATTCTTTCTATTTAGGAATGCCCAGTAAAGAATTTGAGTCGAAATAAATTACGAGACTCAGTCTCAACTCTGTGAGTCTCAAGCATGAATTTTTGTGACTTAAACGCGATTAAGGCATATTTTCTCATGCTCAAATATAGGCTAACTAAAATACAATCATGGTCTAATTGGCTAGGTGCACAAGATGGCGTCTGTGATCTTTGGTGACACGAGTGTGGGCGTGCTTACGGTCTTTGCAATGTTCACATTTACTGTACGGGGAAACTTTTATACGAAACTTGGCTAGATATAATAAATGTTTTTCAAATTAAATAGGTGTTAGTGGTTAAATAGTGGCATATCAAAGACAAGAGAACACATCCTCCTTACATTATTGCGTACCTCTCTGTGGTAAATCATCAAAATACAGCACAGAGATTCCTTCATTCTTTCTTCTGTTGATTATGCGGTTCAGCATCCGTCCAGGGATCTCTTTATTCAAACACAAAACAAATAAGTGTGCAATATAAATTTTCAGAGAGTTGATTTTGTTCTGACTGCTGGGGGATATCAACTGTTCATTCTCTTTCTGCGTGGAACAGCTCTATATATAAGATCGTAATGTTTGCGACTGTTAAACAAGATTTCAACATCCATTATGGACTCTGTGTATGTATGTTTTAGTAGCTACATTTGGTAACAACCCTCTACAATGTGAGTAAATCACACGCTATGTGACTACATTTCCATTCCATTTTCCTGTCAAAATAGTGGATTTCATTTCAAACAACAAAGTGTACAGTTTTCAGGCTACAAAATAGATCATTCTGAAACAGCTGAATTTCTGGTGTCAAAAATCTGGTCCAAAATCCTACTTTACACAGCTTCGTATTATAATCTGTTATTGTTCCACATCACGCGGAATTTTCTGTTGCTATGTTGGCACTGCTTGTCACTGAAAACTGATGTAAGGTCAAACTACATTATAATTTTTGGTTGTAAATTTGGTTCTGGGTTCTTAAATTAATTTATAAAAAATTATATATTTATATACATAATATATATATATATATATATATATGCATATATGAGACTTTTTAGTTCACAGAGTGCTTGCATTTTTTGCTGTTTACCAGTTTCTCAATATATTATTCATGTCCATTTTTGTCATTTAGAAAAGTGAATGGAAGAAGAAATTACAGGAAGCACAGAACAGACATCGACAGGAGAAAGAAGAGGCAAGTCTTTCTAGTATTGCACTGTCTGGGCATTATGAGTGTATTTAACATTTAGTTTATTTAACATTAAATTTTTGTTTAAGTTAAAAGATGTTTAAAGAAATTTTAAAATTCTAATTAAAAAATTATATAAAATTATAGTTATACAGAGCTTATTTGTTAAATAAGAACTATGAAGGGAACAAAATTACATTTAAAATGGACTTACCGTGTAATTTGACAAACCTCTGATGATTTCCTGAATTTATTCGAATGCACACTCTAAAAAATGCTGGGTTAAATATAACCCAGCATTTTTTAGCGTGCAGATATAAATAATTTTAAGATTGCTACAGATACAGGTATTGGCTCTGCTACACACCCCTATGGGCAACATATTGGAACACTCTTATCATGTCTGTGATTTGTATGTGTGTGTTACAGCTGAAGAGTGAGAATGCCAGGCTTGTGAAGGCCTTGTCTGTGGAGAAGAACTCTGGCTCCAGTCTGCAGAAACTTCAGCAGCAGGTTGTCTCTCTCTCTTCTCAGCTGAGCCAGAAGGACAGACTCATCAAATCTCAGGAGGAGAAGGTTGGTTATTTACTTCACAATTACAAACAGTGGATGAAAGATAGCTATAAAACCATGCTCTTGTCAGAAAATGTTACCTTAATAGTGAAGTGCCACTAGAGGCACCAAACAGAATTGCAAAAATAATGTTTACAGAATCCCCATCCCATCTGCTTTGTTTGGATAACCCAAGTCAGTTACATGCTAAAAAGTTTATTGCAAGCCATTCTGTAAAAATAAGCACCAGTGTTTACACTCTTTGGAGAACCTATAAACCTATAGTTGACTCTACTTATTAAGCTGTGATGTTATTTTTAAAGTATTTAAAAATGACACACTTCACCTTTAACTCATATAATAACATTAGATTGACGAGATTGTAGTTATTGCAAAATGATCTGCTGATGTCTTGACTCTTGAACACTAATCATCTTTCTTATTGATGCTTCACCAGATTAAAAAGTTGTTAGTCTCAGGTAATGAATTATAGCTGCCATTTATGGACTTACTCATTGCATGATTACATAAAATATTGTTGCTTTGAATCGAATTTAATGTGGTTTGACCAATTTTTGTCTCTCATTTGGTAGCTCCAGTGGTTTTGCAAAAAGCCCAAGATGCTCCTGAGGAACCAGAGGAGGAAGATGAAGAGAGTGTGTGGTTCAGTAGTTTCTAACCACAGTACATACTGTACATACACACACCAATCATGCCATTATGTACATTATTAAAACAAAATTTGCATGCACCTTCAGGCATGGAGGATTCAGATGAACCCCAGTGGAAGGTTCTAAAGTTACATAAAGGAAAGTCAGAGCTGATGAAAGCGTCTAGACCTATTCTAGAAGAATCACTGGAGGAGAAACTGGAGAATATGGGACTGCGGAAGGTACAGATTGACTCAAACAAGCATCAGTATTAACATTTAAGGCATAAAACACTAAATGAAACAGTCAGTATTTTAAGAGACATAGCATGATTTAAGTTAAACTGTAGGAATGATAGTCTGATCATTGACATACTGTACAATCCAACTACTAAACTAAAGAACACATCTGTTGCGACTCACGCAACAACAGTCGCAACAAAAATATATAAAGTATGCAGCAAAAAAAAAAAAAAAGTTAATTTTGGACTGTGGATGCATGAATATATGATGTAATTCAACAGCATTGCTCTGTGGTTGAAGTGATGATGTTTTGGCAGGGTACCAAGGGTATCTCTAAGCAAACTTTTAAGAGTCTGAGTGCTCTGTTGACTGGTCAGTGGCTGCAGAGATACAGACAGCAGCCAGACCTTCAGAACCAAAGAGACAACCTGGCACGTGAGGTCATCAGGCGAGTGAAAAGCCTACAGAATAGCCAGGGGAAATTAACACCCAGCACTTTAAAACAGGGTAAGCAAATGTGTTATTATCATGCCACCACACTACCCATTTATCAAGTCAGTTCCATTTGGTTGCCACTATTCTGAACCAAGATCAGTCATTCTTATATATTTGTTTTAGGGGGAAAGAAAAATTCAACCCTAGTGAAGGAAAAAAGCCTCCAATCCAGGGAGGACTCAAAGTCATCCATTCAGAGGGCCAAGAGCCAGCAGCCACAAGCACTTATTCCAACACCCACCCCACGCTCCAATGCACCTCAGAATCAGACTCCAAAAACACAGCAAAAAAAGAATGGGTAGGCTATACTTTCTTTTAAAAGTGGTAAATGTTCAGACTATTCAGAGACATATGAAATAGAAGGTTGAGATGTCAAGCTGTTTTTAACTATATTTAATATTACCTTATCAGTATATGTTTTTAATGAGTATATTTTTCTTGTTAGCACACCACCTTTCAGTTCAGATGAGGATGAGTCAGTTGAGGACAGTGCCTATATCACCAGCTCACGGGGCAGGCCTTCCTCCTCTGTGCGCCTTGTCCAATCAGGATCACTGCTGAACCCAACAGCTGATCCCGATTGGACAGACAGTGAACTGTCAGAGGCTTCTGACACACCCAAACTCCACAAAAGTCCCAATGCACGTGGTGAGCAAATGCCAAAGTCCTATATGTTTATTTATTTTAAAGGGGTCATATGATGCGATTAAAATTTTTCCTTTCTCTTTGGAGTGTTACAAGCTCTTGGTGCATAAAGAAGATCTGTAAAGTTGCAAAGACTAAAGTCTCAAATCCAAAGAGATAGGAGAAACAATAATGTACAGTATGTGGAAAATAATGTGTTTTTTTAACCTTAAACCGCATAAACACATTTCATTACACCAAATACACAAAATACTGTTCTTTTTAGCAGCATCATATGACCCCTTTAATTCCTCCATTTGGAATTAGTCTGAATACCGAATATATTTAATATAGATATGTTCACAGCCCTCTGTCATCTATATCATTTTGCCAAAATAGAGTGCTGCAGTGAGGACACATTTTTGTAGGTGAAAACACCCTGGAAGTTATCATTGCCCTGGTTCCCTATACAAAAAACCCAATTAATTATATTGCAGATTATTGCAAACAATAAGCTCTGTGACCAACAAAAGTTTATGATTCTTACAAGATTTGTTAATCATGATAATCTTAACAAATGAACAACTTTTAAGAATTTTTAACCCTGAATACAATCATCAGACGTGAAAAGCTAAACCTAGACTTGCTTGACTTCAACAACTATTTAGTCAACTTTTTCGACAACTCGATCTTTCAGTCTTTATTTAAAAAAAAAAAAAACACATTTTCATATTTTCCATTAATATTTCAGTTAGAATAGTTTGCAGACTCAAACTATTCTATAATGCTAACTTGTTTCTGGGTTTTGGTCAAAAGTTCATCATCCCTGCAGCACAGAACAAAAAAAACAGAATAGACAGATATTTTTAAAATGCCAGCTATAGAACTTCCAACTTCCTGTGGGATGTAGACATTTTAATTTTAAAAGTAGTTTAGTCTTACTTTATTAGTCAGTTACTTAACATGAATGTTTTTTGATTGCAGGTTCTGTTGTCCAAACACTGACAAGAAGTTTGGAAAGACAGCTAAGCACACCAATCAAAAAGCCTGTGGGCGGGACTAGAGTTCTGCCCTCATCCAGCCCCTCCCCTCGCCCTGCCATTGTAAAACAGAGAGCGGTAAAAAAAAAAAACCCCGCACATTCTCACATATCTCATATATTCTCAAGTCATTTCCATTGCTGTTAAAATCTTGCAGCAGAAATATAATTTGTTTTTGAACATTGCCTTTGTACAAAGCTTTGTAATATACCTGTCTTCTAGCTGTCTGATGAGGAGAGTGACTTGGAGCTGTCCTCCATAAAAGAGCTAACAGCCAACCGTGCAGGAGTACACAAAAGTTCAGAGGTCGGCGGGACCTCAGGGACCAGTGCGTGGAGTTCTGTGGCCAGTAGACCAGGAGCGTGGTGAAGTGTGATGTGACCGTCAAATAAAGGCATGTTTTCATTCCAAACCCAAATTCTCAAAGAGAATTTACAAGTGCAGTTACAAAGGAATCATTATTAAAAGCCTTTTCTATGCTTTAGGACATTAGTGAACCCAAAAATTGTACCCAAAAGAATCAGCCATTACTTGTTTGTGTGCGGTAATATAACCATCAGGTGCTTTGTTTTTGTAAATAGTGCCAAACATAGTCCAGGATACATTTACTTTTAGGAGCCAAGCAGGAAGCAGAAAAAAATTTAAGTTTGTGATATTTAGAATGTAATTGATATTTGAAATACATATGATTCTGATATTGAAGACTATCAATTAATCGTGAACATATGAGAGAAATTTGGGGAAATAATTATATACAGTAGTAAGTTAAATGTGCTAGAAATGTGATCAGAATTGTGACTTTACACATTTACAGATTTTTGGTTACAGATTAATAATGTGTACTTTAATTTTTCTTTGCCTGATCATGGGCAGAGCTTTATCATCTTTTTCACATTAAACTGTTGTAAATTTAAATTTGACAATTCATTTTCATAAGTGCAGATACATTCCATGCTCGTTTCAGCTATAATAATGCCATCAAGCATTATTACTAGCTGATACGAGCATGTACTGATTCTGCACTTATGAAAATTAATTGTCAAGTCATTTCATATTTTTCACATTCTGATACATTTTAGTTTTTTTGCCCTCAACATAATGTTCCAAAATATTTAATAGCTTTAGTTGTTTAGGAAGCACTACATGAAGGAAGGAAGCAGGATACTAAATGACATTCACACCAAGAACGATAACTTTAGAGATAACTGTAATGATAACTATATTAGCATCCACACCAATAGACAATAATGTTCTGTTTATTATTATAAGCATGCTGCAGTTACATGCTCAAGCTCTTTAAAGTCAGATGGATTCTGATTGGCTGTGATGTTTTTATTTTTCAAAAATAAAGGAAAAAAAAGAGTTCTGAGAGTGATTTCAACAATATCAGTGTCATTATCATTATAGTTTTGGTGTGTACTTCCCTATTCTCATATAAGTTGAACGATTATTAAAACTATAGATAGTAGTAATCTTTACAGATTTCATTTGTTTTAAAGCAAGGCATGATCATGCTGATAGCAGTGGTAGAAATAACTTCAGTAAAATCAAACAGTAGCTAATGAGAAAATATTGTGAAATAATGTTTGCCACACTGTAAATAAAAACAGATTATTGAAGTACATTTTACAATAAAATATTATTTTGTTTTCTACTTTAAATGTTCACGGTAATTGCCATTTCTGTAATTGCTTGTGAAATTCACGAGCAAATTCTAAGTGTAAATTGTTTCAAAGTAAATCCTTTTATTATTTATTTTTTAGTGGTTTGCAACAAGTGAGGTAGCTGTAAGTTCTGACCAAAAATAAAAAGCGACCACGCAGGCTACAGTCCCCACAATAGCCTGGCTGCATGTTCTTATCTCTCGGTCAACAGAGTTGGGTTCCTTACCATTCTTATCAGCACACATTCATCTCAGAATGAGATTAAATGTTGAATCACACCCCTCTCCGTTTCTCACCCGGCAACGCACAACCTGCCTTCCTACCGCTCTTTCAGCAGTGGCCTGACGATTGTTTGTCCTATTTTACACCGTGACCTAGAATGGCTTGCATCCTCATAAAGAGACATAAAGGTTCCTGGCCTTTAAATTCTGTCTGTGCCTCTGAGCTCTGATAGCCTGAGCAGCTGCAATCATTGTGGACCCTCCATTAGCGAAGTCTCGGAGAAAAGAACCTGAGCCGTGCAGTGTTGGCCAAGATGAAAGACTCTCCAGGGAAAATGGTGACAAATAGGGTGCCATTTACAGCCTTTTACCCATGGTTACCTGGCTTACTTCCTCTGTAACTCTTCCTCACTAACCACTAGATTGATGCCTAATTGCTATTACAGCTCAGCTGCCACTAGAGGGCGCAGTGTGTACAGAATAAGCCGCTTGTATCACAGCAGGAAACAAATTTGCAGAGCACTTGATAAGAGTGTTTCTTTTCATTCTCCGAAGCCCCAAGCGGAAACAGTTTGTTTGTACTTCTCAACAAGCCTTGAGGATTTCGCACTGAATGTGGGCCAGTCAAGAAGAGGACAATTAGGATTTTTACCCACATTTCACACTCGAAATAAGCGTTGAAACAGTCAATCCAGTTCCTCACAATCTTCTGTGTCCTTGTTCTTTATCTTCTGTCCATCCCGAAGCTCCATAATGCCAGCGCTGCCGCTTTCAGCCGACAGACAGAGGATTTCAAATCCTCCAAGATGAACGCCCGGGGGCCCCGGCTTCAATGAGCAGCATCCACTAATACGCAACACCAAGCAGACGAAACAACACCCAGCGCGGCTCTCGCAGAAAGACGCGCGATTTCAAGCGACATTGAAATAGTTTTTTGTTCTAACACAGAGGAAACACACATGCTAGAAACTGACATGGTCCCATCGGTGCTGGGCAGGCTCAAGTTCTCCGAAAAAGGCTTCAGGATGCTGGATGAAAATCAAGACCTTTTCTCTATTACCGATAGCTGGACTTAATGCATTGACCCCCGGGTCAGAGCCTCACAGATAGTGAGGTCACAGGGTGAATTTATTTAAGACGCATGGCTCTTCGTCCTTACCTGGGAAACATAAACTCCCTCTAGAGATCAGCAACATTGTATCGTCAAAATAGCTTGCAAGCACAGTCACGAGTAGATCTGAAGCTGCTTTCCATTACACAGGAATGAAGAATCACTTGACAAGTGAGTTGAGGGTGGAGATTCCTCCAGGAAGGCCGAGGTCCCCTGCAATTGAAGGATGGGCCCAAACTTTGCAGATTCCAGAGCCATTAACCAATCAGGTCTGGCAATATGGTGTGACAGAGTGAGCACATCATGGGCCGCTGCGACTCACATCCGTTATGCATTGAGACTGGCCAGATCTAAATTAGAGAGCCAATTAACTCTGCTAATAGCCCTCTCCAATTTAATCTGGGAGACAATGGGGGATTGAAGACGATGCTTTATTAAAGACGGGAGCTCACACAATATCCTCTTTCTGCTACGATTCGGAGGGCCTCCACTCGCTGCCTTGTTTTTGCTTCAATTAGCCCACCGCCTCCCATGATTAAGTGCCTATAATTATTTTTCAATTAAGGCTTTGATCTGCAGTGTACTGTATACAGCTTCTTGGCACGACAGAAAGAATGAGGATGAGACAGTGAATTTGTTCCCTTTCTGTTTGGCGTTGATGGGGGTGCGGGAGAGATTATGTTTGCAGCGAGGACCCTCTGGGACGGACATTTCCTCTGTGCAAAAGCTGATGAAAGCACAGCTCGGATTTAGTACGGGCTTTAAAGTTGGCGCTTCCTGAAATTTCCAGGTTCGAGTTTGTTTGGGAATATAAATCATGCTAATAAGAGGATGTAGCTCGGTGGTCGTATAGCGCACATGCCTCGCAAATTGTAGGTCCTGGTTCAGTCCGTGGCATCTCTATGACAATACTCACCACTTGCAGTAAATTGGACTGTCCCGATTAGCAACTAATCCTGAATACACAGAACTCGCAAACTGCAGCAGGGAAAGGTGATGTAACTCACTGGAAAGGTTGATGCTTTGAACTGTAAATCGCTTTGGATAAAATGTGTTAAATGTTAAATGACAAGTGACCAATAAATGTGTGCAGATTTTTAGCCAAGGAAAAATAGCTTCTGGTCTCTGAATGTTTAAAGATACAAAAAGGCTTAAGGAAAATCTTTTTAATATGATTTATGTTAATTGCATAAATGGATACATTACACATAGTGCATATATAAATGAAATAACCATCAACAACAGACTGAGACACACACATAACATGTTCATGGACATTTTTTTAACAATCAATCATCATCAATATTTTGAATTGAATTGAATTGAAAATTGAATATTTTAGATAAAAAACGTATATTGTATGTTAATGTATAAGGGAAAGTGCAATTTAGTGTTATTCAAGTTTTTCGTAATTTTAAACAGGTTCTGCCTTAAGTTGATTTTAAATAGCCCTTTAAGTTGATAAAAAATACAAAGTACAAATGCCATTTAGTCTCCCAAAAATTAAGCAAGTATCATAATTAAGCAAGTGTATAATTTACAGTAATGTTAAAAATCACCAAGCACAAATGTGTAAATTTGTTAATTATTTAGATTATTATTTTACATGACTTCAAGTCAACTGCTACATTACAGGAATAAAAATAGCTAAAAAAAACAAAAACAAAACAAAGCTCTTCTGGTTATTTGGTGTAAGTTTTAATAAATTTAATATTACAAGTTGGTTTCTAATGCCTGATGAGAACTATTGTATTTTTTTTCAAATACGCCAAAAATTAATGAAATAAAATAAAATAAAATAAAAATCTAACAGTCAATAAATCATGGCACAAGAACCCAAGACAATTTGTAGAGTTGGGTTGATGCATGTACTGTATATTAAAACCACTGCACAGAGGTAGATTTATACAACAGTGCTCGTTCCTTCTTTCCTCGTCACACCAAAAATACAAAATACTAAAATATCCATACCACGATGAAATGCAAACATGTACTGAACTCCATACAAATCTGCAATAATCTTTAAATTAAACACACACACACACACACACACACACCTCAGTGATTTAATCTTAGCTCTTTATCAAGATGTTTTTGTTACTGCCTCAACAGTTTTCCAATGAATTCTCTTCAGGTTTCTACAAACTGCTGTGTGTTTCACTAGCGGTTATGTGGGTGAGATTTACAGGGTGGCACTGAAGGGGTTACTTAAGCTTTTGTGGGGTCACATACAACAAAAAAAAAAAAAAAAAGTTGGGAAACACTAAGTTAAGCGTGTGTCCTCTATACCTCCACACTGAATCAGCCTTCCTCTGCTGCGTTACCTGTGCTGGAGGTGATCAAAGAGAGGAGGCTGTGCCGAGCTGGATGACA